TCTCGCAAGGTTTCAGTTCACTGGTCATTCCCTTGGTGGTAGTCTTTCCCTTCTAGTTAACTTGATGCTTCTGTCTAGGAAGGTTCTAAAGCCTTCAGCAGTTCAGCCAGTTGTCACTTTCGGCTCTCCCTCTGTTTTTTGTGGAGGCCAAAAAATACTCAAAGACCTAGGGCTAGATGAAGATCATGTTCACTGTGTGATGATGCATAGAGACATTGTGCCAAGAGCCTTCTCCTGCAACTATCCTAGCCATGTGGCTCTAGTCCTCAAGCGTTTGAATGGCTCCTTCAGAACACACTCTTGTCTAATTAAAAATGTAAGTATTTGGAAGAATACTTCATCTTTGAAGCTGAAGTTTTAGGTTCTAACTATCAGGCTCACAAAGTAGTGCTATATGCCCACTGAGCCATATGGTTCAGTCATCGTAAGTTTTTGTAATGCTATCTCATCGGTCATGTTCTTTCTTATATGCAGAAACTTTTGTACTCTCCACTCGGAAGACTATTTATTCTCCAACCTAATGAAAAATCATCTCCTCCGCACCCTTTACTTCCTCCAGGAAACGCTCTCTATGTGCTAGACAAGACAAAACGTGGGTACTCAACAGCTGCCCTTCGAGCATTTCTTAATAATCCCCACCCACTAGAAACCCTGAGTGATCCTACAGCCTATGGCTCAGATGGTTCAATTCTGAGAGACCATGACTCAAGCAACTATTTAAAAGCAGTGAATGGGGTCCTAAGGCAGCATACAAAAATGGTAGTAAGAAAAGTGAGAAAACAGAGAAGCATGCTGTGGCCATTACTCACTTCACCATCTCCACACTCGTGGACATATGATAGGAGCTTAGACAGTAGCAGGTTAGCAAGAAAGGAGATGATGACTGGTGTCTAGGGTCTTTCTTGGTACTTCTCTGCAAAAACAGAGAGGATGCTCACAAGACAATAAGTGATGAATGTAAAACATTATAATCTGTCTTTTGCACATCCTTTTCTTGTAAATTGTTGTTATTTCTGTTTATATCTACGCTATTCATTATAATGCTGTCAATAAAATGTCAATGGTTCTGGTAAAATCACAAGTAACTCATTCTTTCGTTCCTACATGGATTAACTCTAACCTAACAATCAAATAGAGTTAAAAACAATCAACTTATTCCAACAGATTTAGTAGAATTATTGATAGCATTTGCTTCCATGATATAGAATCATCTCCTTTCATTTATAGCCAAAACAAAATCATGACTACCAGAGGAGCAGAAACAATTCTGTCAGATAAATATAAAACTTTTCATTTTGAACCAAGGGCCTAATATTACTTCAATATGGCTGTTGGAAGTGTCTGCCAGCACAACATACTACTGAACAAAATCATTTTACACGAACAAACAAGGAAACAAAAGCAAAAAGGACAGCATGAGATAAATCCATATTCCAAAAAATATAATCTACTCATGACTGTAGCCAAGTCCCTCAACCCTCTGAACATTATGCAAGTTATCATAAATATGAAACGGGCACCATGGGTTTAGCTCAAAAACTTCAACTCTACTCCAAATGAATGAGAAAAGTTTTCTGTCTGTGAGATTAGAAAAGATAGTAAAGAAGCAATTGACTTATCGGTTTCGCTCTTCGGCCATCCTTTTCCGTATCTCGTGAGCTGTGTTGAATATGCCAAGAGTAGGTTTGTTGCATACAAAGCACTTTTTGTTCTTTGCGTGGTGCTAAGAACCAAGAAATACAAAACATTACCATTAGCATAAAATAAAAGATAAAATAATTGTAAAGATCTAAAGTTCGGAGCTACACCTAATAAAAAATATCACTATCAAGCTACGTGTATTTTTGAACCCAACTTTCATTGTTAAGATTTCCACGAGAAGTCTGAAAAGAAGTTACAAGAGGGCACAAGTAAACTAGGGTTAACACTAGGAGGTTGCAGCAGCCCCATTGTTTTTGTAAACAATGTGAAATGGAACTCTGATCTTCACTCATTTTGACAGAAATTAAACTTCATTATAGTGAAAATTAACACAATCATTAAACTGATTAGAATAGCAAAAAAATAAGGCATGCGAAGACTACCTTCAAAGCACAATGCTCGCAGAAGTAGTGATTGCATTTAGTCACAACAGGATCCACAAAAGGCTGCCTACAAATGAAACACGCGAAGGGCAAAGAATCATCATCATCATCTTCATCACTCTGTTCTGCACCCTCTTCATTGCCATCATCACCTCCAAAAGCCAAATTTCTCTTCCTTGCCTTCTCTGCTTCATCCCACTCCTTCTCTAACTGCCATCCAGATTTATAGTCCCCTCGATCATGCATAAACTTACATGAATCTCCATATCCACAATATCCAGTCTCTTTGTAATCCTTACATATGTCTGGCTGATAATCGAACCTTGCTGATACTCTAATGTGAGCAGAAGCTCTAAGGGGCCCATGTGCACCACCCGCTTTCTCACTAGAAATTGTTTGTTCCCTCCTGAATCCAGCCTTGTGATCGGTATACCCATGGATTCCCGTATACAACTTTTCCTCAGAGCTCTTATTCTTCCCCTTCAAAGACTCCTCTGCTCGCTTAAGAACTCTCTCACGGATGGCTCGAGAGTCTTTGGTAAACTCTGTCTCAGTCTCCAATGTAGCTGTTGCTTTGCTATCATGTTGAACTTGAATTTCTTTTGATGACTCAAATTGGAAGATTGGTTTATTAATCTCTGGGTCGGTTGAGGAAGAGCTCTTGGATGGTCCAGTAGAAAAATATAGCTTGCTGTCGTGCTTTGGTGCCTTCTTTTGACTATGAAGCAAAGAGCTTTCACTTTTTGAATCTTCATCATCATCTTCATCGACAGTTCTTTTCCTAATGTTCTTGTTCTTTGATGGCTTTCTAAAGAAATTGCAGACTGAGAACGAAAACAGATAGAAAAATGAATTCAATAATGGACATGTAATATTAAAAAGGGAAAAAGGAGGACAAAAAGAGAAGGATGCCAATAAAGAGCAGATTGTACACCAGAAAATATTTTAACCTTGATCAGAAGGTTTAGGTTCCTGCTGCTCAGACTGTTGAGGTTCACCTGAATCCATCAATTTACTTCCAACAGAAACAGAATTTACAGGTTTGTGGTGTGAACCTAGAATTAAAGGACGAAACTCTTAATTAATTTAAACATAGAAGAGAAATCCAAGGTTAAATTATCATTTTAAGTAACAAAACATTAAGTGCAGGAAATACAACCAAAAATTTGGATACTACTAAGAAGATGATCACATAACATAAACTGTGCAACAATTTCAAGGTGGACATATAATTCAGAGCTCCCTAAACTGGAAAGATAAACAGAATAAAAATAGAAAATTGAGGATTGAAATCTACAAAGAGCTTAAAAGAGGAACCCTAGAAATCAAACTATTGCTACAATAGGTCAGCTGAAGTCATGGTCACATTTTAACAAGATCAAATAGACAAAAGTAAAACCAAAATAGAATATAATCCAAGCAAACAATCAGGTAGACTCAAACTAAAACACAGTCATCATGTTAGGTATGATTTTTGATGTAAAAGAAAAAACTAATGTGTTGATCTAAATGAAAAACCAAAACAACAGGCTTTTATGGATCACAAATGTGTCAAGATGACCCAAACAAACCATTTGCCAGGGCAAAAATGTAACCTGAGAGTCTTCAAGAAAACGGAGTAACCTTAGAACAGAATGAATTATCAAGTTCATGAGCAGGTCATGAAAGAAAAATCGAGTAATATTATACAAATACTTCAAATTGGATCAAACATCAGTAACAAATATGTAGAACACATAAACCCAGAGTTTAAAAAATTAACCAGGAAATACAAAAACCTAAAGAATAAAAACAGTAGTTGGTAAAAGTTTGATAGCTATAATATAAAAAATAAAACCATTAAGTGCCATCAAAAGCTGAGAAAACAATCATCTAACCAAAATCCAACTCATGAAACAAGGAGTATCAATACTAAATAAATCTGATATGAGATTAATGTAAAGGAAATATAAATTTTTCAAAACAGCACATAAACCAGAAGTGAGAATATAATTAACAGTGAAACAACAGATGAGCTAAATATTTATATGATAAAGCAGATTGAAAACAAACAGTTAGGCATCAGAATAAATCTGTAAGGCTCATATCCATCATATGAGAATACAAAATAAGATGAAAACTAAGTGGAAGTCAATTGGATAATTAGAAGTGACAGAATCAGAAACATAATAACCAAAAACCCACCTTAATGTGAATGCAAATCCTAGATGAAGATGGGTTAACAATAGCAAGCCCAAATTAATAGATAGTAAACCAGTACATTTAATCCATATGCTTTAGATCACAATTAAAAGCAGAATCAACTTGTAGGTAAAGAGTTCAAGCAGAAGATGCAAGGTGCATAGAATTTTTTGATGTTTTCGTTTGGCCTCTAAGGGTCATTATATGCTGTTTTACATTCAGTGGTTACTAATGATGTTCTTTTCTCTACCTAACAAAATGTATGTTCCTCTATATATATAAATTTATGCTCTTCTCTCTTAGTTCTTTCTATCCTCCTTTCTACCCTCTCCAACTTCACCCTGAATTTATTGAAATCATCTTTGCTTCTACTCTTGATGGTTCTTAAAAATTTCAAGGACGACCGAGCTTTCTCGCTGTCACAACCGTGATGCGAGGGAGCTCAGAAAAATATAATCAAAATTTAGGAGTCACTACCAATTCTATTAAATGCCAAAAAGACAAATATCAAAGTCAAAATGTTTATCAGGTGAGAAGGTATGTTAGGCTCCCACCTTCTGACATCGGCTTATGGCTAAATATTCTCATTAACGTCAAATTTGAAATCATTGTTTCTGTAAAGAGTTAGGAAAGAAAAATACTACATATTTATTATATTTCATTCCATAAGTTTAAGGATATGTATACGTAGGAGAAAAATCTATATATGAAAACATAAATTACCATATTAATACTAGAAAATTAACTAATAATTACATAAAAATATTACTAATATATTTTGTAATATTCTAATATTCTCCCTTAAGCCAAAACATAAATATTAATCATGTCTACCTTGTTACGAAAATATTCAATTCGGATTTCATCTAAAGTCTTTATGAATATATCACCTAATTGTTCCTTTGTTTTCGCATAATTGGTAGAAATCAAGGTCTTCTGAATTTTCTCACGAATGGAGTGACAATCAATCTCGATATGTTTGGTTTTTTTATGGTGCACTGGATTTGAGATAATATGAAGAATAACTTGATTATCACACCAGAAGTTTGCAGGTAGTATGAGATTCAAACTCACTTTCGTTAAAAGATATTGTATTCATAAGATTTTACATGTGAACTGGGTCATAACTTTGTATTCAGACTCTACACTGGAACAGAACACAATAGTCTGCTTCTTACTCCTCCATGATACTAAGTTCTCACTAACAAAAACACAATAACCTGTAATGAATATTCTATCAATTTTAAATCGAGTCCAATCAACATTTACAAAACATTCAATGTGAGTGTGCCAATGATAGCTAAACAATATACCAAGTGCTGAAGCACCTTTTAGATAGTACAAGATCTGTTCCAAAACTTTCCAATGTTTGACTGTAAGTGCAGACATAAATTGACTAACAACACTGACAGGATATGCAATATCTGGACGATTCACTGTGAGATAATTTAGTTTTCCAACAATCATCTGTACCTTTCTGCATCATCAAGGAGGTCACCATCATCTTTAGTAACGTGTACATTAGGTACCATTGGTTTGTTACATGGTTCAACTCCCAACTTTTCAGTTTCTATAAGTAGATCAAGTACATACTTCCTCTGTGACAAGAAAATCCATTTCTTATTTCTTATTACTTATACTCTCAAGAAGTATTTTAACTAATTCAAGTCTTTAGTGTGAAACTTAATATGTAAGAATGATTTGAGAGAGGATATTCCTGCACAGTCATCTCCTGTAATGACAATATCATCAATATAAACAACAAGAAATATAAAACTAATTGCTGACTGTCTATAAAACACTGAGTGGTCACACTTTCTCTTCTTCCACCCAAATTCCAGAGCTACTTTACTAAATTTGCCAAATTACGCATGGGAACTCTGCTTCAAAGCATACAAAGATTTCTTTAAATAACAGACTTTCTCATACTCCCCCTGAGCAACAAATTCAGGTGGTTGCTCTATATGTACTTCTAGGAGATCGCCAGAAAGGAATGCATTTTTGATGTCCGACTGGTGTAAGAACCAATTTTGAGATGTCGCAATAGAGATGAATAAACGGACAAATGTAAATTTAGCCACCAGAGATAAAGTATCAGAATAATCAACTCTATAAATTTGAGCATTACTTTTTGTTGCAAGTCTGTTTTTCAATCTTGCTACTAAGCCATTTGGGTTTACTTTGACTGAAAAGACCCATTTGCACCACACAACCTTTTTTTCTTTGGGTAAATTCACCGAATCCCAAGTATGATTTTCATTAAAAGTACTTATCTCCTCAAGCATCGGATTATGCTAGCTAGGATGATTCAAAATTTTTTTAACTGTCTTGAAAATATAAATCAAATCTATATAAGCAATGAAAGAGGTAGATGAAGAAGACAACTGATCATACGAAGCAAAATTAGCAACGAGATAAGTTGGTTTAGCAATGTTGCACTGACATTTACCTTTACAAAGACCAATAGAAAGATCGAGATCCTGTGAGGTAGAATCAGATGACGATGGATCTGGTGCAATCTGTTGTCTTTTATAATAAACATGAACAATTGGTAGTGGTACTTGGGTCAGAGGCACACTAACATTATCATCAACTTGCTCAAATAGGGCTGGATGTACACCATCTGGAGAAATATTATTATCTGTTTGTTCAGTGGAGGTATTTGGTGTGAAACTATAGATGACCCACTCATCGTCCACCCATTGACTTGTAAACTTGGACAATGAAGAGAAAAACAATGTATTTTTTGAAAAAACATATTAGTTGATATTAAATATTTATTAAGATTTGGAAAGTAGCACTGATATCATTTTTCAATGCGAGAATATCACAAAAATACGCACTTCAAGGCATTTGGGTCTAATTTTGTCATACTAGATTGCACATCTCGAACATAACAGGTGCTACCAAATATCTTAACTTGTACCGAAAATAAAAACTTGTTTGAGAACAGAAGACTGTAAGGAACATCTCCATTAACTACTATAAATGAATACGATTAATCAAGAAACAAGTCGTAAAAATAGCATCGACCCATAATTGCTTAGGGACTTACGTTTGCAACAAGAGGGCTCGAGCTATCTCAAGTAAATGTCTGTTCTTCTTTTTACTGACTCTATTTTGAGATGGTGTATCAACACACGAGTATTGGTGAAGGATCCTATGTTGAGTCATATAGTTCTAAAATGAATCTGACATATATTTCTTGCCATTATCACTCCTCAATACATGCACAGAAACATTGAATTGTGTCTTGACTTCAGCACAAAAAGCACAAAAGTGAAACAATACTTCAAAACAATTCTTCGTAAGATAAATCTAAGTCATTCGAGAGAAATTATCCACAAAGGTAACAAAATACTTAAAATCTGCTTTACACGGAACTGGATAAGAGCCCCAAACATCATAATGAACTAACTCAAAAGGTGACTCAGCTCGTCTATTGACCCTTGGACTGGACAGACTACGATGATGTTTTGCAAACCGACGTGACTCGAAATCCAGTGAAGGTATATCATGAAACTGAGAACATAACTTATTTAACACAAGTAGAAAAGGGTATTCTAATTGACAATGTACTTCAAAAAAAGAGATAACACTATAACAGACAACCGATCGAGATACCCAAGTATCAAGAATATAGAGATCATTTGATATATTTTTTTACCAATAATTTGTTTCGCCATAAGATCTTGAAGAACACAGTGATCAGGAAAGAATGTAATACACAATTCAAATCTTTAGTCAGTTTACTCACAAAAATCAGAATGAAAGCAAGTTTAAATAGACTTAATACAAATGACAGAGTAATAGATGAAGTTGATTTTAGGGTTCTAGAACCCACAACGTTATAGGTCGACCCATCAGTAATGGTTACAGGAAAAGGTGCTTTATGTGATTGAAAACTAGAGAAAATATTATAATTACTTGTCATGTGATATGTAGCACAAGAATCATTACTCATCTGTTCGAGAAGAAGATAAAGAATCATTATTCTCTAATTTAGTAAGAGGAAACAATTTATTTAAAGATCCCTAATACTAAGTGAATTTAGCATATTCGTCAGCTAAAATCATCACAATTCTCTCAAAAGATGAGCTAGTAACAGCAATAACAATATTAATGGTCTATGTCATCCAACTGCGATTTTATAATTTTTTACAATATCGTTTTATATGCCCTCGTTCACGACAGTAACAACAGACAATGTTATCACTCATTTTAATGTGAGAATTACAAAAATGCCACCAAGAATAACCAACACACAGAAGCAAAGACACATGAAAAACATAGCAAATAAATAAGAAATTATGAGAAAACAGAGTATCTCTTATCACACGGAAACCCAAAGAACCACATTGTCACCACTGGAGATTGATCGTCGTTGCATGCGCCGCCGCTGCACGCCAAACAACTTTCCTTCGGCTAGAAATCACCACAGAACCAGAATACACACCTAAATCTGGAATGTAGCTCCCCAAACCGCACTAGAGAATCGTAAAAGGCTTCATGTCACACGATCCACTTAGCCTCGGTTTCCTTTGCTCCGGCCTTTTGGTTTCGTGCTCAGAACCGGCTGATTAAGCTTCCCTTCACCTTCTGACTTCACACAGGACAGACACGATGTCGCGGCTTCAAATTGCGGCGCAAACAATAGGCAAACTCAACTTCGCAACTCCAAATAGCTGCGCAAACTCTTCTTTTGCGTACACCACCATGTTGGCCGCACTCTGAACTGGTCGGAGATCGGTGGTTGACTTCCTCCGGCACTGGAAATGGGTTGTTTAACCCTTCATTGGTATGATGTATTCTGATCCCTAAAACCCTAACCCTAATTCTAACTCTGATATCATGTAAAGAGTTAGGGAAGAAGAATACTAGATATTTCTTGTATTTCATTCTATAAGTTTAGACAATATATTCATACGAGAGAGATTTATATATGAAAATATAAATCACTCTATTAATGTCAGGAAATCAACTAATAATTATATAAAAATATTTTGTAATATATTTTATAATATTTTAATAGTTTCTAATAAATAAAACATATTGCCCAGTGAACCCATGTCAACATAAAAGTTTATAACTTCTTGAAGTCTGTGATTTTGGCATATATGACCATAACGTTTATTCGTGAGAACACTTACAAATGATATAAGAAATGAAAATATGACCAAAAGAAAAACAAGAAGTACAATGGTGAAAACCATAGGGAATGAGGCACCTACCTAGTGGTGTAGACCAATTTAACTAACTTGTGTTCAAGTCTACATGAAATGTGTGATTTTGGCATATATTCACCATAAAGTTTATTTGTGACAACCTTTACAAATCATGTAAAAAATTAAAATATGATCAAAAGAAAAATAAGAAGTAAACCAAAAAAGAGGATAAAACAAAAATCCTATCTAGCTTCTTGCATTTTCCTACTTTCCTTTGTCGGTAAATTTTATGATCAGTTCATCTAATCTATTAATTTACAGCCAGCTAATTTGAGCTACTTTTAATGCTACTACTATCACTGTTTATCCATTTCTGTGATTATTAATACCATCATACTCCGTGTTTTCAATGAATATAAAATTAAACACGTGTAAATGATGCTTATTTATCTCCATCTAAGTTGAATCCCAATACCCAAATAGTAAGCCAAGATTAAATTAACTCTCATTTCTGAATTGATTGCAGTCAAAACAGTAACAGAAATGTGCAGGACTAAACCTCAGTGATCATCAAAGCAGTAGCAGAGTTACCAAATTAACAATTATTCTTTACTTGAAGCAAATCAGCACAGTAAGGAAATGAAGAAAATAAACCTTACTGAAACAGTAAACTAAGAGGAAGAAGAATGTTGCTAGTTAATCCACATTTGACCCAATCAATAACATCAGCATCCAACAGACTACAGCAAGCACAGCGAAGTCCTAAATCGCAAATACAAGTCCTGACTTATAATTATTCTACTCCATAGTTAAGGATGCATGATTCCCAGAGGATAGTGTTTGGGAGAACAATGAACAATCCATACAACATACAACACATACCAATTGTACCCAAAGACCTAAAGAACCTAAATCATCTTGACAATATATAAGTTGGCAATCCTAAAACTTTTCATTCATCCCATGAGTACAACACTGAAAAAAGAAAAAAAAAAGAAACAATTCATTAATTTAAAAAAGTTATACTACTTAGAAAACTAATCCTGAGTGAAAGACATACCTAAGAACCGAAAACCTTGAATGCAGGTTTCTCGAGCTCGTCCTCCCTTTCTCTCTTCGGCCTCTCCCTCTGAAACTCTTCCTCTGCTCTCTCGCTCTTTCCTCTTCTATTTCCCCTCTCAACCTCGTCCGCAGCCGCAATTTTCCTCACGAATCTCCAAAAAAAAATGAAGCTCTCTCCCCTCTCACTCTCTAATCTTCCTCTCGGCTTCAATCTCCCTTCTCTCGGAAGCTCGCCACTCGCCCTCTCTCTCTCAAATGTCTACTGTTTTCCCCCTGTTTCTCTCTCTCCAGGCCCGGATTTAATTACCCTAGCTCTTCTTCCGGTCCGTGTCTTTGGCTCGCGCCTTTTATCCCACGACATCAATCTAAAACCAGGTCCTCAAGTCAACCCTTTTTTTCTCTTTAACTAAGAAGCGTTTCGTCTCCCTCAGTTTCTCTGCTTTCCTCGATCTCCTTAAAGATAAGTCATAGAAACAGCCCTTTTGTTCAAAATATCGTTACTTCCTCTTCTCTTTCTTCCCTCTTCGATGAAAAAGGGCCCGTGAAAAAATCAGAAGTCTGGTCTCTCAGCTTTCCTTTGGTCTGTCTCCACCATCACTCTGCCTGAAGCTCACCTCTCTCTTCCTTCCCTTGCCGCTGCCAGGTTCAGCATCTCTCCCCCTTTTGTTCACATCGTCAAATGGGAAAGTAGAAAATTCTCCCGAAAACGATGACGTATTGCATAAGATGTTTTTTGGGCTGTTTTAGTTTGGGCCGATTAGAGGTTTTTTTGTTTGGGTCAATTTGGGCTATGTTAGTTTATTTGAGGGTTGAAATAATTAAGATTAATGGGTTTTATGGCCTTTTAAAAATATTGCTTTTATGGGTTTTTAACAAAATAAACTTTTTAAACAAAAAATTTGGATTTTGGTTTTAACTACAGACATGGTGCTTTAGTCACGTTCACATTCATGGGCCAGACTTGATCTCAAAAATGAATCGATTTAGCAAGAAGAATGGGAAATGAAACAAGGGTTATCCCAGCAACTAACCAAACAAGGCTTAGCCCAGAAAATTAAAAAAATATTTATATAAAATAATGTTTAATCGCGTACACTCTCTCCTCTCTCTCTCTCTCTCTCTCTCTCTGTGTCTGTCTCTCTCTTTTTCTCTCGCTCGCTCGCTCGCTGTGTTGCCCAGATTCTATCTATTCTCTCTCAATAAATTAAGAAATTCAAAAATCAAAAACCCCTCTATTGCCCAACTCTCTTAACGTCAAGCCTTTCTTTGTCGCCTCCACAATCTTCTTTTCTCATCAGCCAAACCAAACTCTCCCCCTACTCTCTCTGTCGTCAAAAAAACCTAATATTCATTCCGAACCCTCTCCTTCCACTCTATTTAATTTAATGCCCTCAATCTTTCCTCTTCGCATTTGCTATCTGCTCCCTCTTCTGATTTGCCGACATCTTCTCTCCTGGGTTTTTGATTATCTGACTCTTTTCATCGCCTCTCTTGTATTCCTTCTATAGGGTCTTTTTTTTTATCTTATTTATTTTTTCAATCATTTTCTAGGGTTTTTTTCCCCTCTTTGTTAGGTTGCGATTTTCATTTGTCAATTTCAAATCTGTCTTTCGTTTTAGTTGGGGAATTTACGAATTATAAAGTGCCACCTTGAAAATCGTCTGTGTTTTCTGTGATCGTTTTCTGAACATCCAGATTTTTGTAGTACTTGTTGCACTTCCCATTTGTTATTTAAGGGCGGTAATATACTTTTATCATCTCAGATAGTTTCAAAGTTCCCCTCTTCCGCGACAGATTCGGCATAAACCTGCAAATATTGAATTTTTGTTGGAATTCGAATACCCCTATTAACTAAACGACTCTCCATATTTTTGGGTTTTGTTTTTATCTTCTTTAATCCTTGTTTTTGCAATTTTTTTTTTCTTTAGCAGTGGATGGTAGATTATATTTACTTTGAAGTGTTTATTTGGGGACCAGGTGTTTGGGGGTTTTGTTTAAGGGGTTAGTGAAGGGAAAGCCTGGGATTG